GTATTTTTTAAGGCAAATCTGGCTGTCACCCCAAAAAACATTTTTAAATATATGGTAAAATAAGTGAAAGCATAATAAGCCCACTTCTGATCCTGATAAACTCCAGCATAGATTGTCTGAAAAACAAACAAATAGACAGAAGTGAGGACGACTCATTAATGTTGAGCTGCAAAGTCACCCGAGTCGTCCAAATGCTTTTATCCCGAGCACCTTTGAGTACCTTGAGTGCTTCTAATTTTAGAAATATGATCCAAGTGGGAATCAATCAGCTTATCTTGAGAGTTAATGTAATACTTAACTTGACATTTGGATGTGCTGAGGGAGTGAACATCCACCAGCGTAACTCAATGCATGACGCCGAAATCGAAGCTAAAAATATGAAGAATTAATTAGGTGCTCTTTCAGAAAACAGTCTACACAATATCCAAACCAGGCCTGAAACTTCAGCTTTTAGCTGGATGAATTTCACATTTTGGATAATTACTTTAGCACCTTGAAATGTTAAGAAGCTAATATTAGCTATAATAGTAAGATAAAACAGTTAATAACTATAGTGTTCTGAATCACAGGCTTTACAGCGCAATAAAAGCAGCACACAGTGAACCTATATGTAGTATTGTGTGGAAATAAGTTTTTTTTAGTTTTGGAATTCATATATATTTAAAAGGCCGTCACATATGTGCTTATATGTAGAGGTAGATGTGTATGTATAGATAGAAAAATAAGGTAATCCTGTTATATGGGTCAAAGAATGAAACACAACTTGTTACAAAACAGCTTGAGTAGAATAGAGTAGTGTGAAGTTGGACCCTTTACACACGTACAAGACACGGACGTGGTGATAGCACTTCTTTATTTTGACATTCGGTTTTACTGTGGTTTTACAATGGGACACAGACACTCCCGCTCCGCTGTCACGTCCGCTCTCCAACTGTCACTGTGAACATATAAAGAGTCACAATCACATTCACATCCCAGCACACCTGTTCACCCCGCCCCGGGAGCTCGCTGCGTCACCCTTCCTCTGCAGCCTGCCAGAGACCACACCCACGCCACAAGTAACTTGAGAAAAATAAATTGGGATGTAACAAAACAGAATATTTAATAACATAACAATTTACAAAAGAAAGCAGTTCAGTTAGTAAAAATCTTTATAAAATACAATTTTTTGTAGCAATTTCTGATGTTGTACTTTTTTCCATTGACTGTTTTCCAGGCTTTGAGGTATCCATACTTCTATGTAGGACAGACACTTGGTGCCCCACTAAAGCACTCAGAACAGCAGGCCCAGAAGAAGATTTCTGAGACAGCTGCAGATCTGAAGCCTCTGTCCCTCTGTAAGCCTCATCTGGACCCCTGCGAGCTTGTCACGACCCACGCTGAGCCTCAGACCTGCAGCCAGTCTCTCCATCAGCCTATCCAGCAGATTCCTCTTCCTCAGGAGGATATAGAGAAGAGCACACTTCAAACAGTGTGTCCCAGCACACTGACAGAGGGGCAGCAGGAGCCTCTCAGTCTGGTGAAAAGAAGACCACCAGAGCGCTGTCAGCCTGTAAACATCACTGAGGTGAAGGCTTGCAGCATTAAACAGTGAACCCAATCATGGCAGGATGATTAGTATAAGGCTTGGATTTTTGAGGGAGCTAAACTTTTATCTTCTTTATTTACGCTTCCACACTGGATACAGCTTTATTTAAATATAAAGAATAACAAAAATAATAATTTAATACTCATTTCTCGTTTAACATTTGCCTCGCGTTAAATCAGCGAGGAGCCGAGAATAGACATGCCCGGCCTGCACGACGGCGGTGGGGCCAAACATCTTTCAGGTCGGTGGACAGTTGGGACGACAGTGACGATAAAGACACCGGCGTTTCCATCTCCAAAAAACCCACCATCACTTCTCTGAGGAACAGCTGTCGGTGAGAGACCCTCATCATCAGGTGAAATGTCGTCATCAGAGTTTCAGGAAACGTTAAAAAATAACGTTATAATGCAGATTTTCAGAGTCAAAGAACAACAGAGGATCAAAACTGCCAAGCAACAACGGACTGAGCCGAGATGACTCCAACACCATGTCAGCCAAGCAGCACTACCTCCACCAGTCCAGATATATGCCTGGTGAGGAAAACATAGTAATAATAATAGCAATAATAATTAACCATGTTTACACATAAACGCCACAATGAAAAGAACCAAAGGTAGGTGAACATAATCCAAAAACAAAAATCCCACCTGCCCTAAATTTCATTAAACAATAAAGTTAAAATATATATTCAATTCCGTTCAGTTTTATATATATATATCACCAATTCATGACAACAGGAACTTTATATTGTACTACAAGGAGCCTACAATATTAGAAAGAAAACAACAAAACTTATAAAAGGACACAGGAAATATGTCACAAAATAAACCTTAGCTTGGCCTGATTGCAGCCAGCTTACGTTAAGGTGTCTGGTTTCTTAATGTGCAGACTGTACAAATGTACAAAATTTCACCCTGAGCTGGGTTTGTTTCATTGTTGTTTCAGGCATAAATCCAAAAAGCACCTCCTCAGTAAGAGGCCAAGTGTCCAGCAGAAAGCTGGGAGTGTCCTCGTGTTTATCCAGAGGACACGGCCTGGAGATCCCTCTCAGGAGAGGCAAGACAACTTCATGGATGCATATTAGAAGTTTTATCATTACACTGTTGAAAGACACACATTTCCCTGCCTGCCCTTCTCTGTACTGTTGAATATACTCACAGTTTAATCAAATGTTTAATGCTTTTAGGGGATGCTTTGATTTCAATCGCAGGCCTAAATTTTCTAATCTGATTTGATCAAACTCAACCCAGCCCAACCTGGTGCTCCCAGGTCAATAAAGGTCAAGTGAAAGTTTATGTGATGCAAATTTGACTAACAAACTGTTTAATTTGTTAAGCAATGAGCTTAATTATGCAGAATGTCCACCTAAGACTTCTTCAGCTTGCGTTACGACTCTTTCTCCTCTGCTTACTCTTACTTTTGGTTTCCTCTCACGTGGTTTTAGATGTTGGTCTTCCTAAAATACCAGATAAGACGCCTCTAAAAGAAAAGACCTCAGAGGATCTTGATCTTTTGAAAGGTATCGCTTAAAAGTGTGTTAGGGCTTCAATTGTATTTTTTCTAATGCTTTAAAGAGGTTAACTGTAACTTGTGATGGGGTTTCTTCTTCAGATTCCTTTGTGAGCAGCTCCAACACCAAGACGTTCATGACACCTTTACAAAAAACCGAAACAGGAGCAGCCCGACAGAGGGTTATACTGGCACCGATAGGAGGCGCCTCTGCTGGTGAGAGCCTTTCATTACTCTTCTCTGTTTCTGCAGTTTTTATTAGTTGAGCATCTACTGGCACGAATCACACGGTACTAAAAATGTCTCGATGGTTGAGAAGTTTTTCTAACTCCATGGCTTCTTTCTTCAGATCCTTCATGTTCTGAGGCACAAACACCTTTAAAAATGACATTAATTCCCTCCTTAACCAAACTTTAGCTTAGTACCCCCTAGATTTAGAAACAGCCATGAGCAGAGTTATATTTTTTTAGTTTTTAAATTTTCGTTTTCATTTAAAGTTAACATCAGTTGTTCTTGGTCAACAATCGGTTTTTACCCCTCGGCCAAACAAGGCTGATGGGGTACTGTCATCAGCCTGCCAGGTGGGCGGGCAGGCAATGCTGACAACCAAGGATGTGAACTTTCATTTTCAGTTAGCGTCAGTTATTCTTGGTCAACACATTTGTAGTCATTACACTTGTTTTGATTAATTCAACTGTAAGTTTAAGTGTTTTTACTCAACTGTGAAGGGGAATTTATTGCATCTGGCTCACAGGCATGTACAGTACTGTGCAAGTGTTGAGTCACCACTCTTTTCTTTGTACATTGCTACCAAGGAGCCAGACTTTCTTGTAATTTTTAAAGTGGTCTTGAGCAATACTTCTCCAGGCATGAAGGTCTCTCATAGTTTTGCTTTGGTCACTGGCTGCTTGAACCAATGTTGCATCTACACATAACAGACAGCTGAGCATTTTCAGGTGCTTTGTTGCTAGCGGCCTGTTGCAAAAACACACTTCTTTAGTTGAGTCTACAAAAAATGATAACACAGTTTGACATGCATAAAATCTAATTTTTCACTAACCAGTTTTTGTTTTTGCTGTAATTGCTGTTGCCTTTACATCTGCACGTTCCATTAAATCGTTGCACTTAGTTCATATTTTCCGAGCCAAATATAAAGGAATGAAGGGTGGCTCAAGACTTTTGCACAATAATATGCAATACAGTCATGCCTGTTGTGTAAATTGTTTCTCAACCAGAGGTTATCTTCCTAAACGTGAAGAAATTTGGAATTTTATTATAAGGCACTGACGCATCAGTGGAAAAGGCGGCGTGTCTGTCCTCTAAACTCAGCTTTTTTTCGAATCTTTCAGTCGATCTGTCGTCTGCTGCTGATCTGAGAGTGGAGCCGCAAACCAAACCATTGAAAAGCAAAACCTTAAACAAGCTGGCACCCTCAAATGAAGGTAAGACAAAAAGAGCGGCACACACTGTGAATAAAAAACGGTGTAAGCTATTTGACATTATCTTGTGTTTTTTGTGTTGATTTCAGAGTATGAAGGATGGAAAAGCAGGAAACTGAATTCTCAGGTCTTTGGATTCATCACCAGCACTCCAGCGAAGACCAGCCTCTCCAGGAGCTCAAACTCTCAGCCAGTGACCGGACGAGTAGACTGGACCGCCAAATACAGCGGCCGCCGGTAGCGCAGCAGTCTCTCGGCTTTCCAGCAGAATCCTGTGAAAGGTTCCCAGAGCAGGAAGTGTGTCTGCCGCTGCTATAAAATATCATTCAGTGTTGTATGAGTCAGTTGACACTTTTATCTTCGTTATGTTAAATAACAGGAAGTTTAATAAAGTAATTATTTAAGTGAGTGAATATTAGTATCATGGTATTTTTTTTGTATGGGTCGAAAAATTACATTTAAGCACAGCCAAAAACTTTATTTAAAAATGTTTTTCATACAATAAAGAAAAAATTATTGATAACACAACTGTGTGATCTGAGGCAGGACAGGCTCCAGGAAGCCCTTTCTATATGATCACATTTTTAACAAAAGTATGACTGCAGTAAGAAAATAAATGGTGAGGAATGCTGTAAGTTTGATCTTTTATGTATTCACAGACTCACTAAAAACGCTTATTTTGGCTCAAGATTTGTGTGATTGTGTCTTTCCCATTCTGGCGAAGGTCTTCATCAATACCAGCAAACTGAAAACATAACAAATGTATATCACTGAATGTCTGAAAACAGCCTACATGATGCAGAATATTAAAATATATTATCAGTGAGCAGGTTCAGTTTGACAGAAACTGTGCTTTTACCTCAATGAAGTCATCAATCCAGCTGGCATGAACTTCCAGGAGCCGAGAAATCTCAGTCCCATCACCACACAGAGAGTTCCTGCAGTGCCTGCATTCAAGGAAGAGCAAAGATTTGCTAAGTTCGGGAAACTGAACTCGTTTAAGCTGTTTAACACCTGAACTCGCTCACCGGCTGAAAGCCACACATTCCTGGGGTTTTTAGATGTCAGATAAGCGCCGACCGCAGCCAGCACGCCAAACAGCAGCCCTGCGACCAGAGAGGTGACACTGCCTGTGGAGGAGACGTTGTTAGCTGTCATCGAAACACCCCCCTTAATGTTGAACACTGACCTACATTTACCAGAATGCCTTGTAAAGGTAAAGCAGCTAAGTGTGCACTCGGAGCTGCACTACAAATGCACAGCTAGCCATAATTCAGCAACTGTGCTCTTCATGAAGGCTTTAATGGTGATTTTGTTTTTCCATCAAAGTTTTATTTTAAAATCTACTTTAGAGACTGAATGCTTGTGTTACGATGAGTTTCTAGATTTTATCTGCAAAGCTTACATTTGAAAGACATTTATTTATCAGGGATTAACCACAAACACACTGAGCTTGCGTGAAAAAAGACACCTTGTGCTGATTTAGCCTCTAGTATATTTTCATTTGTTGTCCCTTGGCAGGTACAAACAATAATAAAAAGCTAACTTCGGTTCTTCCCTTGTTCACAGTGACTAATTCCACATGTTTGATTTGGGAAATTTTGTTCCCTACCACACCCTTCCTGACAAACTTCAAAGGGGTTTGTCTCTCCTCACAGCACTGAACCTGGGATCTGTTACTTGTTGGACAGATATGTAAACCACTATGCTATGGAGCCACTATAATAATAAATATGCTATTAAATAAAAATGCATATCCAAGATACAAGTAGGTTGATATAAAAACAAAAATGCATGCAAAGCCTAAAAATACTGGTGGCTGCCAGTTCTACCCCTCAGACTCCTAATAGATGCATCTATGTTATCAATTTGAAAACCCAGGTCGCCCACCCACCCAGCAGGGTGACGACAACACCCAATCTTGAGGCGACTGAAACCCAACTCACACCTTGTAACCTTAGTAACTCTACAAGGTAACAGCTCCACTAGAGGTTAAATACATGTGTTGATTTACCAAATTTAATATGATTTTTCATCATTTTTCACACTTGATTACTTTGTAGCCCTGGAGTCATAGTTCATTCCTATTTTATTTTGCCAATATGTGACAAACTTGTGAAATTTAAGTTCTCTCACAAAATCAGTTTTCCAAGTACTGGAATATACACTCTGAGTGTTTGGATGCTGCCTGTGACCAAAAATATTAAGTTTCCTTCAGATATGATACTGTAGGCTGTGCTGATGTTTTTTTTTCAAGGAAATTCAAGCTCTCAGGATTTTATGTTGACCCTCAGCCACACCTTTGCCATTCTGTATTCCTGAGGACATAGGAGCAAATGGTTGGTTTAAAAAAAATTAATTGACCCATCTTAAGTAGATTTAGGTATTTGAAAACGTCTCCACAGAAAAAGTTTGAAATGCCTTTAACTTCACCACAGAAATATTTGTTTGTGAGCAAACTAATAATAGTAAAGAGCTAAAAAAATCCGGCAGTTTTTCTCTTTAAAAAATGTGATTAATCAGCCTGCAGATGGTCAGACAGGAAGCGTATAGTCAGCTGGACAAAAGTATATGTGTTGATACATTGGCGGCATGCCTCTTGTGTAAAATGACGTTTGATGTACTTAATAAAGTGGCAGGGTAAAGGTGGTTATCTGTGTCTAAAGTCCGCTTTAACAGGGTTCATGTCATGTTAATGTGTCTATTCTAAAAGGCTTTCGCCTACCTGCTTTCACATAACCTACGACCCCTCCTGCCGACACCAGAGCAGCATAGCTGAACCCAATCCAGTCGACAGCCATGAGCACAAAGCAGCAGCTTCTACTGCGATAAACCTGCAGCGAGTTTAGTTAACACGGTGACCACAGGTCGTTTTAACTGGTTACTTTAACTCCTAACTCCGATTAAAAGACACTAAAAGTTTGAAACACAGTCGTTTCCACTGATTGTCACTTAGAAACTTCCCGAATGGAGAGTTAAGTCTTTCACTTCCGGTGGCTTTTGCATGCGCTTTCAAATTAAAAGAACGTCTAATTTCCTGACTCTCCTACAGGAGGAAAAGAGATAACTCACGGGGACAGAAAATGTATTTATTTAAAAAAAATACACTCAGCAGTTGTGCTTTATCTCACATATAACAAAATGTGTACAACATACCAAGATGCTGGCAGATGTCCAGCCTAAGCTGTTTTAAGAAAGGTTCTGAGCTGTGAAGAAAAATAATACATCTTTGTTACATTTGCTCTGGCACATTACATCATTGGTAGCTTCAGACTCCAGGCACTTTTTTGCATTTGCCACAGTGTTTGTGCTATGAAGTCTACTTTTATATAGAGTAGTTGTCTGTGTGCAGCCTGGGGAAACTCACGGACATGGGTCTTATTATAGTCCGCTTTCCTTTTGTTTGACGTGTAACTTTCAGTTTGATTCTACAAGAACTGCCAGTCTTTTGAATGTTATGAAATATTATATCATCCATCTTGTTCTGCTTTTCTTTCATCAGCGATAAGTTCACATTTGATGTAGAACACTGCAGGTCGTCAGAACAAAAATCCACATGTGTATGGGTAATAAAACATTTTATTCTATTTTCCACTGTTCTTTTTCTTCTTCTTCTTGGGCTTGCTCTCGTCTTCCAGGACGACTTCTTCCGTGGCAATTCGGACTCTCTTTGTCCTTAGAAGTTCGGGAAGTAGTTCTACGGATAAACACAGAGCAGGGTGTTAGCTCAGGTTTACATTCCCTTGCCCGTAGGAAGTGATATGAAGTAGAGAAGAACAGATCAGAATGTGAGGTAATGACTCAATGATCCGATGAGCGGGTCGCACATTCAGGCGAGCTGAGTGTCCCCTCACCGATCATCATCATGAAGCAGCTGAAGTGTTTCCACAACCTCACCTTCAGATGTTGTTGCCTGGGGTGCTTCTTCCTCAGTGATCTCCTGCTGCATCGGTGAAGTCCTCCTCACAGCAAGGCATGTCAGTCTGGCTGATGTGTTCACTTCCCCAAGGAGTGTGGGAGGTTCCAGCTCCTGATGGTCAGCAGAAGTATTAGCTCACCGGGATAATCATAAATATACCATATTTATTTTAAACAAACTTAAGTTTGAGTTTGTTCTTGTTAAAAGGAACCCATCAAGATATTTTATCTTATTGTATTACTAATATTGTCAGCAAAGTTAATGCAAAAATAAATACATAAATTAATAAATTAAAAAAAGAAAAATCAGCATCTATGATCTCTTTTAGTCGACTAAAAAAAAATGCTCCAGGAGAGAAACCCGGAGGACCCAGCTTCTTAGTGTCCTTGTGCATACTTAATACTTAACTCAATACTTAACCCCAAATTTGTCAGTATAACAGGCAAAAAGTGCACAAAAGCCCAGAATAAAGGTGACGTATGAATGTGTGTGTGGGTCTCAGTGGCTTGTAGTCTACAACAAGTCCATTTCCACATTAACAAAGAATGCATGTTCTCCAGAAAGCTAATATCAGGACGCAGCGTACCTCTTTAAGATGAATTTTCCACATTTTGATGAAACCATCATTTGAAGCAGTCACCACCACAGAGTAATCATCCACGTTCACACTGTCGACCGTCTTCACTCTGACATCACAAACGGACACAAAGATAAGCTGACTTCTTCCCCCATCACCACGCGTATCAGAATATTGACAGTATGATCTACGCATGATTGGTGGGAAAACAATGAATAAATGAATTCACCTGGTTTCGTGAGCCTTGAAATCACACACCCATTTTGCTTTCTCCACATCACACAACCTCACAGTTTCATCGTCTCCTGCAACGGCCAGGATGGAGTTCTGAAAGATAAGCGGTGGTTGTTTTTATAGATATGCTTATCCTTCATATGAAAATGCCTCATCTTGAGGGGATCCACTTCTTGAAAATTGACAACAACACTTAATGTTGTGTCTGTGTGATTCTACCTCTGAAAATGTGGCATTTACTTTGTGTCAGAACTGTAGTCAAAATCTGGCTTTTGGATAATATGTCATGGTCAGCGAGCTCACGTTTAAAAAATTGACAGAAGCGATCCTTTTGGGGTTTGTGACCGTTCCCGTCACAGTGGCTGTCTCCAGCTCGTAGATGTTCACTTTGTCGTTCATCACGACCACGTATCTGTCCCCGTCTGGTGACCACCTGACAATGTGTGCATCTGTCAGGTGTGCAAAGAACACAGGTTTGAATCATAAATGCGTCAACAATTTCCTCACCGCCCAAAAGGTTAAAGGGGAGCTTACTCTGTTTTATGTTTTTGATGAACGCTGATCTTCCATTAATGAGATTCCAGGTTCTGCATGGATACAAAGACACAACGGCCAACATTGTTTATCAGTGCAAACGGATCATCTGAATCATCTACCATTAAAGAGAGCTGTGAAATTTACCTCAGTGTCTTATCGGTCCCAACTGAGAGCGCAAGCTTCCCAGACGGATGGATGGACAGCGATGTCACATGACCTCTGAAAGACATCACAGCACAAAGCAACACTGACGACGCTACCAAACATAAAGAAACAACCCTCTCTGTGTGTCTGTGCCGTCTTTCTGTGCGCTTACTTGTGAGCTTTGATGGATTTCAGACACTCCCACTTCTTCGTGCTCCACACACACAGGAGTCCGTCCTCTCCTCCACTCAGTAAGTGAGACGTCCCGTAAAACTCGAGGCAAGTGATGGTACCTGTGCAGGAAGTCAGTCAGCACCACAAGCAGAAACCAGGCGGACGTTTACGTTACTGCTTTGAGTTTCCACCACCAAAAAAACCCCAAAACAATCTAAACCTCAGGTTAATTCAAATTGCTGAGAAAATAATTTGAAATAAACTGAGTTTAAACAAAATATCAAGTCAGCGCACTTTGAATTATTCAACAGGTCACTTCTATATTAGGTGTTTTTGATGTTTAACTGAAGAAATCAAACAGACTAATTACAATTTACAAACTCACCGTCATGATGCAGCAAAGCACCGTGCTCGATCCTTTTCTTCATGTTGTACACTTGGATGGTCTCATCTTTGCTCCCCGTCACGACAAACCTCTCACTGGCAGCCACTGCGGATACTGAAGCTGTGTGAGCGTGATGTGTGAATTCTGCTTTGGCTGTCCACTCCTGCATGACAATTATTTTTAAAGAAAACTTTTTATAACAAAACAATTTATTTGCATATAAATTAATCCGCAGAGTGTTAGAGAAAAAGGAGTGAGTCACGAAACTTCTTACATTACACTCCTTTCATATACTGGGCAATGAATGTGCTTCATAATCAAATAAATACTGCATTGCATACAAATCATGACAAATCATGTTCATCGTCCAAACAACAAACACTTGAGCTTGTTATTATTACAACTTCACACCCTTTATGTGACACACAGGTCGTTGCTTTGTGAGACTCCAGCTTACCTTTTCGTCAGTTTTTACTTGATAACCGAAGGTGATCTGTTCATAACTGCCAGCGACCAGCTCCAACACAGCTGCCATGCTGCTGGACTACAGTGAGCTCAGCTAGCCGGCTAATTAGCTTTCCTTAAAATTTGCCGATTTTCTGAGCAGATTTCCTCGAGCAGTTTGTGTAACAGCTGCTAAAACAGTAATAGAACACCAACAAGAGAAAGGCAAGGACAGTAAAAAGCGTGGTGCGAATGCTCGCACGCGAAAAAGGTAACTCTTTTTAGCTAAACACACGTTCAGTCCCAAAATAACATGTGGAGTGACTGCGCATGCGCAAACGCACTTTCTTACCATTTGTCGTTAAGACTTTTTCAAAATAAAAGTCGCAATCGTTCAGTTATGGTTTTTTTACGTTGATTTTCAGACTCTAAAAGACTGGTGGGAAATTTAATTATTCCAAGGGACCACAGGAGAAACTAAGACTAATCTTTGCCTGATTTTCTATAATTTTGTAATTTTGAGTCATGGTAAAAAAAAAAAAAAAGAAATAAGGTTTTATGTATCAGGACATAATAAAAAAAATCATTTGTTCCTTGCTACCAGTACAAGCTCAGCTGAACAGTAACATATAAAACATTACACAGTGTTGCTATTTATTTAATACAAACTAAGACAAAATACAGAAGGAGCCTGTTGAAACACCTTTAATACCAATAAGTTGAAGTACTTGTGTTTTCTGTAAGACTTTACCAGTTTCTCACATTATCGCGGCAGGATTTTGCCCCACTCCTCTTTACAGTGTTGCTTCAGTTCATTGAGGTTTGCCAGCATTTATTTGTGCACAGCACCATTTTAATCAGGATGAGATCTGGACTTTGGCTGGGTCTTTTCATTTCATTCTTTTCTTTTTCTGCCATTCTTTTGTAGATTTGCGGCTGCTCGTGCTGTTCATTGACACGATTTCACCCAGGTTTTAGTTGTCAGGCAGTTATGCCTCACATATGACTCTAGAATATTTTGGTATACAGAGGGGTTCTCGGTCGACTTAGTGACTGCAAGCTGCCCAAATGCCTTTGCCTCCAAATTAAGCCGACATGATCATAAAACTCCCCAAACTTCTACCTTGATATTTGAGCTCACACTTACTGATAATAGTAGTTGATGATTATAATAATTAATTGAATGCATTTGATTGTGAAAACATTTACCTTTGAAAGGGATTGCAAGTGCGTGTGAATTCCAAGTGAGGCTAAAAAGTATTGTTATGACCCTAAAACCTCCACCTTTATCACGTTACTTATTTTTCCTGTTTCAGAGGGTTACACCTTTTCTCACACGGAACTGCTGGATTGACATCCATAACGAGTTTACTTTGACAATGAAAAGTTTGAGTTGAGTTTATGAGGATAGAGAACAAAATTAATTTATCCCACGTCTGACGAGCGAGGGGAGGGGGTGGAGAGCAGCGTTTACTCTCCTGTCTTGTAATTGGCTGGCTCCCTTGGTGACGTCATGATTGACGGCTGAGTTAACCGTCTGCGGATTCCGGCAGTTTGTTTCAGAGAGCATAAGAAAAGTCTCAGTGAGTTTTTCCTCTCAACAAAATCATGTCGAGAAGGTGAGTTTGGGATTAAAATAACGCACGAGCAGAAGGATGACTTGGCGTCTTCTCAACTTTCAGAGAAATTTAAATTTGCGTGTTGTCGTTTTCAGCCGCTTTTCGGCCGTTTCAACGCGTTTGTTTCCGTCTAACGAAGACATGTTTGATGTAAACATGTAGTTACAGTGTAACGTCACACCTTTGATGGTTCTCCTCGATAGTTTTGTCACGATAAAGTCCGGGTTTGTTTCCCTGACAGCTGTTCCTCAATGCAGACTGCGCTCTGTGCATCTGCTGCGTGGACGTCATGTGCGTAAGAGGAGCCTGCAGCGGGGTCTGGGAATGATTAGTGGGTTGAATTATACAACAAACAGGACATGGAGAACTTCACGGAGAGCCTCCTCTGCTGTAATAAAACTGTAGTCGCTCCCTCCTGTACTCAGGCTAAACACAGAGGACCTTCTGCCTCAGTATGTGCTCCATCCTGTCATCTGCTTCTCGCTCAACGTGTTGTAACGTGTCAGACATAGGGTGTGGTTGTTAGTCCGCCTCAGTGCAATTGTTTTAGCATTTATTGATGTAATTGAAGAAAACTAAAGCAGAGATGTTATAGTTTTAGTGGTATCTGTAGGTTTCACATTACAGCCCTCCCACATTCACTGATCCATGCAGCTGTAACTTAATGATGGAGGTGGGATCATTATTTAGAGCTGAAGCTGAAGTTTTCCCCGCTGGCTTTTTAGCTTTCATCTGGCGCCATTGTGCTATCTAACAAAGGAGAAGACTTACAGCATAACATGTGATAGGAGACAACACAAAGCCTTCAGCTGCTGCTTGTGTTGAAGTCAAGAGTCTTCACTTAATTAAAACATTATTTAGATCACCTGTGTCGGACAACCTGGGTTTTAATGGAGAGTCACTGTGCATGGCTGTATAGATATGTGAGTCATTTACACAGCTAAGCACTGCTGTTACTATGTGGGAAACTGTTTTTATGATTTAGATAAATAGGTCCTTAACTGTATCACAGGCGCCTTATGTTTTAAACCTAAGTAACTGAGAATTAAAAAAAAAGAAAAAACGACACACATCCTGAAACAGATGTACAAGCTGCTTTCGACTGAGGCACAGGAGTAATGTTTTGGAAACGCCGTTTTCGTTTTGTATACCTTACTAATTCATTCTAAGAAGAGCAGTTAACAGGAAGTTAACTGCTTTCCGCAGAAAGAATTAGTCACATGAGTGGGGAAAACAAAATTGTCACGGCAGATTTCATCACCAGTAGTTCGAAACAAAAAGGAGGACTATCCCAAACTGCATGGTAGCTATGAAAAACAACAAAGTAAACAGACTGGCCATTCACTCCAGTTCCTCTCAGTGCATAGACAGCGTGAGAAGTCACTTCTCTTTTAATCTGAATAGTGGGAGCAAGTATATGCTGAGAGAAGTTATTTTAGTGTGTTTGTCTGTAAAACTCTACTTGAGGACAGAAGAAATAGCAAAAACATGTGAACATTACACCCCAGTTAGTCATTTCTTTCTTCTTCTTTTCTTTGTCTTCTTCGTTGTCTTCTTCTTTAAAGGGTCGGCAAAACAGGTCATCTGCCTCGCAACCTGTACCTAGCGTCCTCTCTGTCACGTCAACCCTCTGCGTCTCTTCCTTTTCCATGTCCATGTTTCCATTCACACATACACGGCAGTTTTTAGGCCTGCTTAATAATTCACCATGTTTGTCTGCCTGTGTTTTTTTTTTTTTAAATTTATTAATTTTTATTTAACAGTCAAAAGGCCGATCAGGACCTCACCAAGGTACTCAACCAGCTCTGGCACCTGGATAAAAACCGCCTGAGACCTGGGACCGATTACAGGATTTCCCTCCAGGTCAGTGCTAAAAGGGCATCGCAGCTTTTCTGCAATGCAAAGCAGGCAGTCACTGATGCATGCAATAAATGCAAACCTTTGTGTGGACTGGAAGCCTGATGGGGGTTCTGGAGTGTAGGTGTTTTAATGTATATTCAAACATTTACAGTGGTGACGTTCTGTGAGCGTTGTTGCTCAGTGACAAGTACTTCTGAATGTTATTTGACAAAAAAGTTTTGTTTTTTAATCTGTTTTATAATGAAACTGAACAGATTGAAACGCTTTGCAGTAAATAAATCAGAATGTTTGGAGTTCTGTGACAAAGCTAATTTAATTTTAGACATTTTAAAGCTAAATCAGAATTAGAATCACAATCAGAATACTTTAATAATCCCCAATGAAATTATGCTACAAAACACTAAAGACAGCAGATAGAATTCACACAATGATGAACATGCTGTCATTGTTAAGTCCAGTGAAACCATCATGCCCACACAGGATTCCTATTCCATCAGTTAGCTGTCAGTGCAGATTACTGGAGTCACAACACATAACACTTAGTCATAACATAATAACTAGTAAGACGTCTTGATGCATGCTCAATCATCCAGGTAAGTAAATCTCCAAAAGTTTATTTCTGTTTATGTGGACATAGGGTTGTCAGCGGGAGAAACGTTTCGTCACTCATCCAAGTGACTTCTTCAGTCTCAGCACTTTCTCCCACTGAAAACGCTACGTCCACATGAACAGAAATAAACTTTTGGAGATAACTAGTAAGATTAACTTTGCAATGGTTGGTTTGAGTGCACCATCACACTGAGTGCTGTTAAAAGTTAAGCCCAGCTCATTTCTGATTTGTTGCACATTTTCCCCGTCACACAGTGCCAGATGTGGGGAGATGTTGTTCTAGTTTGTGCCTTCACTTTAGGCCCATATGTACTGGGTAGTGCCAGAAAAAGCTAAAGCAAGAAATGAAGGATGAGTAGCACTGTTGCCTCACAGCCCACTGGTAAATTTTATCTTAATTCTTTTCCTTCAGTGTTTCAAGTGGTTGAATAAAATAGAATAGAATTCAACTTTATTGTCATTGCACATGTCACAAGTACAAGGCAACAAAATGCAGCTTGCATCCATCCAGAAAGTGCTTTAGCAATAATATAGATATATTATATAAAAATGGGTCTATTAGAGGAATGAAGGTGAAAAATATGTGTCTATTATGGGTATGTTACAATGTACAAGGTATGAAGGTATGTTATGAATATGCTATAACTATAAGTATGTACAGGCTGTAGTGAGTGTACAAGCTATGAACAGGATATAAATATGAAAACTACAGAAATATGAAATGTGAACTATACAAGTTATATACAGTTGTAAACAGTTGTAGAACTATAATTATTGTATTGCACAGAATGATTGTCTATACAGCATTTACAGTCGTGCAGTTTAGATCAGTGTGGCTAATTTCTACAGTGGTTATATAAAGTGCTAATGGTGTGGAGTGGTGGTTCAGTCCATGTTATTATTGTGTGTATGAGGGTACAGTCGGCCATTTGTTTGTTTTTGTCCATTGTGTGTGTTTTCAGTTATAGGTTGCTCTGTGTGTGTGTGTGTGTGTGTGTGTGTGTGTGTGTGTGTGTGTGTGTGTGTGTGTGTGTGTGTGTGTGTTCAGTGAAGTTGGCGTCATCAAGCAGCTGCTTAAGTGTATTTAACATTGAAACTGGGTGATGCTTTTATGAGCTGCTTACATGTCAATTAACCAGGTGCATCAGCAGTATTTATGAATCCTCATATTTGTTTGTTCGGTTTTAACATGTTGCTGAATGTTTGTGTTTTTATATTTAGGGGAAGGCGGGTTATGTGGCTCAGGGCAGTAATGTTGCCAGAGACCAGGCCAAAGCTCCACTCTTCACATATGTGAATGAAGACAAACTGAAGAGTATTAAGACATATGAATGTGAGTATGAGTCAGGCCTATAAAGGTTTTCTTTATTATGTTTATTTGGAGCAACAGCGATTAAACAGTTTAATGAGGTTACGCCCTTTTTATTCAGATTTCATCAGCTTGCTGGACAACTATGAGATGTCTACAGGTGTGTCAGAGACGGTCACCTCAGAAGAGCTCAAAGAGAACAAGCTGTTTATCGATGCCATCGTGGAGACAGATGTCATGAAGGTACAGTGGATTCATAGGAGGGCATGAGCTCAGAAATCATTTAAGCTGTTGTTTACTGATTGGTTAGAGAAAAGTAAAAAAGAGGTGTGGTAGATGTTAAAAACAAATAAACAGCAGACCAATATGGAAGTCGTTTTATGCTTATATACAGAATAATGAATTTACAGTCAAGGGACCACATCAACGAACAATTATCTAAAAAATAAATGAACTTCTGCACTCATCAGCCAGACACTGTTAGTACACTTTAAGTGTATAATGAAAACTGTACAATTGTTAACTATAACTGCAAAATTTTGTTCGCTTGACACACATTTATTAAAAATTGCAAAAAGATTAATAATTTATAATTTTCATTGTAGTTTACATGCCTTATGTGCATGTCAAATATATACAGCTGACAAGAATGCATGAACTGTTTTTTTTTTTTGTAGGCTTAACTAATTCACATGGATTGAAATGCCACTTTTTTGATACCATTTATAAAGTTATGTATCCAAGAGTAAACTTTAAATGTAGTCTCTAAATACAGGAAATTTGACTTCATAAATTAATGTCCCAAATGATGTAATGTAACACTGAGTATATAAAAAAACAGATACTGTGTAATGAAACAAAAATGATGCCATACTATGATTTCATAAGATGTTATATAGGTACATAATTGATGAGTCATTTTAGTCTGTCGGTCGGTGGTTGCCAGGCAACACAATGACATTAGAATATCTGATATAGATAAGAACCTTCTGGGGCCAAAGATGAACCTGTGTGTCAAGTTTAGTTTATCATCTCCAGATTGTGTAGGAGTTCAAATAGAGATTAGTTTATTATAGTAAGATTAGATTTTCCTGTGACTCATTACTTTAACCTCAGTGTTGTGTTTAAGTTTGCGTTGGGGGGGGGGGGGGGGTATTTTTATTTTCCAGGCACTTTTGATCTTTTGATCTATGCTGGCTCAAATTTTCATTCCAGGCATGGATCCGTTTTTGGGTTTTTTTGTTCTTTTTTTTTTTTTTCAAGGCTAAGAATTAATTTTCTAATGTAACGATGGTTTATTCCGATACTATTGATAGGTCACATTTTTTACTCGGATGTCTGAAATTTCAAAGTATGTTACTGTGTTTTTATTCTTAGTGTGCTCACCAGTATCTGGTCAAGAAGGGGAAGTCACCATCAGACCTTGGGCAGTTCAAGAGACAGCTGTATGACATCTGGTTCCGCTTGTACCACAGGGACAGGAGCGGAGGGTGAGTAACTGTAACAACAGGGGGCGCTGCTGCAATGTTTAAAAGAGAATGAAGGGACCGGTTTGAATGATTGGTTAAAGGCAAACTTAAATGAGATCCAGGTCTGGAGCAGAACACAACTCAAGAATCAGTGAAGAATCTAAAAATAAAACACAGTGTTCCCTGAATGTGTTTTGGGTTTATTTTTTGTTTTTTTCTGTGTTAATTAACAGCTGCTTTTGTCTGAAAAGGCTGACAATAAACTACATGTATTTAAATCTTCCTGAGGTTAACCTTGTAACTCCAGCCAAATACTTACATCTGTTTTTGTGACACTTTTAATCATAAATAAAAAATGCTTCCAGAAATTAGCCCCAGTGTAGCAAGCACAATGAAAAGACTGATATTTAACATTATACAGTAACATTATAGCCTTTGTTATTATTGTCATCTTTATTTTTTTCATCTCATTTTCACAGTTCCACAGGATGAACAACAGAGTGTGATAACTTAATTCTAATTTCTTGATCAGAGTCACTAGATTATCTACATTTGGGTGTTAAAATGATGTTAACACACTGTAATACATAACTCACTCTTTAATTTTTTACTTTAATTTTTAATTTTGAAAGTTCTGCACACCTGGATCAATGACAGGTGACTAGGAGGAATTTTTTTTAAGTGTTGAGTACAAATGTGCAGAGGTTATAATCTTTGTTTAGTTTAATATTTAAAATGTATTATTTTTCTAGTTACACTGAAACAAAGAAAAAATTTTTATAAGATGTGACAGTTTGTCTCATCCTACAGTTTGTGCTTTTTAACTTATCTTTTTAATTACAATAAAACAGCATAGGTATGATAATCACACACAGCCATTAGAAAGGTTTTCCTGTATAAAATATAATGGAGTCATTCATAAATTAGTCGTTAATGAAGCTTGGTTACTTGAGGGTTAAAAGTGAGTCACCGGCTCTGCTGCCATCTGTGCTGTTATCCTTCTGTCTGCCCCGCAATGTTAACATTGTAGATAAGGCGTCTTGTAATGAATGAGGGCATACAGCACTGAGAGACTGAACTTAAGTATCTCTGGGTGTGCTGGTTGGTTTTATTTTCATTACAGTGAGGATTCCTGTGGATTTGAACATGTGTTTGTGGGAGAAGCCAAATATGGAAAGGAGATCATGGGTCTTCACAACTGGGTGCAGTTCTACCTTCAGGAAAAGCACGACCATGTGGACTATAAAGGCTACAAAGCAAGAGATAACAAAGACACAGTAAGAAACTGATACAGCAGCTCGTTACTGTAAAAGCACTGATTGAAAAGTAAATAGCCGCACATGTCGCTGAATTGCATTTACTGTTTTTAAAGCCTGATGAGGACGACCACGTCCTGAACCTGCAGTTCAGTTGGAAAGGCTTGGTGAAGCCTGTCGGTGGCTCCTTCATTGGTGTCAGTCCAGAGTTTGAGGTCGCTCTCTTCACCATCATCTTCTTCATGTCGACTGAGAAGATGACGTCTGTGGTGGTGAAAGTGGACGAGTACGTGCTGGAGCTGGTCGTCTGTCGGCACGGGCAATCCATCGGCACGTCCTATCCCAAACTGCTCAGCAGCAACAACAGGGATCTGTAACTTTACACCAGCCGAGAGTTTGCAAATGTTTTTGTTTAAATCGAAACCTTATTTCAGTGCAGTATAACCCAGTATAACCCTAACATAAACCTGGATCAAGTTCTCTCTGCACTAAACATGAGAAGTATATACCGGTTATTGAACACATTTTTGTCATATGAACTGTTACAGACAAAATAAAAAGTGTTTTGTTAACAAAATGTTTGTATTTGTATTCTGTGTTGGGAAAAAATAGCCCTAATATTTTAAGTCTTAGTACAGCGTGTAAATGAAAGTGGTAATTTTTCAGAAACTAGATCTCCATTTTAAGAAATTTAAAAACAAAAAACACAGTATGAATACATACAAACATGTGTGATAAACATGTGGATTTGACCATTTTCACGGCTACTTGCCGTTATTTGAGTCATTGAGCCTGAGAAGTATAAAAACCAAGCCACATCTTTGAATAAGTAGTCTTTTTTAAAGGCTGTCTTTATGTATATAAGAATGTTTTAGCCCAAAAACAGTAAGTCTTTAAAAGAGACTGAAACTAAATACAGAAGATTGTTATTTGGCAGTGTAGAAAGATGAAAACAGTTTGAGAAGTGGCTTTTGGGAAATAAATAAAACGTAAAAAAAGAATGATCTACTGTCCTGGGGAAAAAAGAAAATAAATATTGAGCAGTAGATAAACAGACTATTTCAAAGTTTCACTGCAAAGAGAAAGATGTGTACTATGAACCAAATAAAAGCATCTGTAAAAATCTCTGAACCGTCTTTGAATTGTGTGACAGATTTAGATCTGACAGTTTCTGACAGTATGTCACTTGAAATATTTGTTGAATTTGAACATTTTGTTCTCTGTGTTTTCTCTTTTATCTGTTTTCTGGAGAAAAGCATTTTTAAGGATCTGCGTCACTATCGTGTATTATGTTTGTTTGAAGTTAGTGTATTTATGTTTGCGTTACTACTTAGAGAAGTAAGCCAATACATTTATGAAAAACCTCGTTACCAAATGTTTTACACGCAGGAAAACCTGACTTACTCAATAAACGTGGCTTGTATTTTTGCTTCTTTAGTCAGTGGGGACGCAGTCGTTGCCTGGCAGACATGACTCAGGGATTCAACTTTCAAGCAGCGCTAGGGTGCTCCCAGGCTTAGCGCATGCGCGTTTAAAGAAATCCATTATCATGTCAAAGCATAGAAATGAAACTGTTCCTCTGAAAACTACCTGATGAAGTTGTGAACGAACAGGTAAATGTAAACGGTCTTTTCGCGGTATGATAATCTCTCTGAAGCCCTCGCGGGCAGATACAGAAGTAGTTTACATCTTGTTTATAAATTAACTTTTAGACTTAAGAGCCGACAGACATGGTTGGCTAGCAGCTAGCTGGGCTAACGTCACCGTTGTTTGGCAGCTCGTTTTCGCAGCCTGTTCGGGAGCCACCTGACAACCGCTCACATGATTTCAACAACTACTGCAACCGACATTGATTACAACACCGACATATTTTCTTAAAGTGTCCGTGTAGGTGAGGTTTGGACCACCGGGGTGTCTCCGAGGGGATATTTCTACAACAAGAAACCAAAACAAACATGTTTGGTAAGAAGAAGAGAGCACCGCAGCCCAAAGGCCAGGGCGCCGCTGCTGCCAAGCAGGTAACAACTCCAGTAAACATAAGGTTGCAAACAGGAGGTTTTCTCTTCAGAAATATGTCAGCGTGGAGACGTTTATCCCCTTACTTCCTGCTTTTAGATGGGTCTGTTTGTAGACCTGAACCCCGAGGAGATGATGATGGGCATGGACGGAAACCTGGACGACCCGGATTTGGAGGCGGAACTTGCTGCTATTACTGGAAAAAAGGCTGCTGCAGGAGGAAAAGCCAGGCAGAAGGGGAAAAGTGAGTGCAGTAGTTATAACTTAAAGTTCTGAAAACCCCACCTCCACACGCACCCTTCTACACATGTGGTAGGTACAGCTAACATTTGCTGTCATTTAAGCGCTGCACTCACAGTCTCAGGCTACGTCCACACAAATGCAGTCACCATCCAGGTGTGTGTTTTAGCAGTTTCGAACATAACCTCCGAATTGACTAATTTGCCTTTAGACATGATTCGCAAGATCATGCAACTACACTTTATGTGTCAGTGTAAACAGGAAGCAGAGGGTTTGTTGGTTGGTAGAGCTGCTTAATTATAGCTGTTATTGTGGTCAGTATTGAGATCACTCACAGCCTTTGTAGTTTTGTATATTTAGTGAACTGATTTTAACAGTGGATTCCTTTGTACTCTGTAATGTTTTCTTACTACAACCCTCATTCATCCAGTCACATTCTGATGGATGTTCAGTGTCTTTTCAAAGGATAGCCACCAATCTACCAATTAGTTAAATCTAACTCCAGTGCCACAGCCATCCCAAATATTAAAAATAAATTACCTGAAAGCATGCTGCAGCCCAGCAGGAAGTGTACCTGTAAGTAATTGGGTTTTGAGCGGAAGCGGACATTGTTATTGCTAATATAATTTGATTATTTGTGCAGATTTGCTATGCAGGAA